CCCCCCCCCGCGGTGTGCCGCACTCCCCCTGCAAAGCCCAAACCACTAACTTCCCTTTCCCTGCTCCCTTTTATACCCCTCTGCAGGCCCACCACCCTCCCAGGCGTGACACTGCCATGGTGATGCCTTGGTTTTTAACCCATGCTTGTCCGTATGTTAGGAGCAGCCAGTCCTGCTACAAACCATACAGCCTTTGCTAGAAAACTAGGCTTTTAAAGACTTCATCCAACAAATCTTACGGTTTTTGAGAGGTAATTTGATGGTGCCCTTCCAGAGACCTGTATTGAGTCTTACTAAATCAGCAAACATGCAGCTCAGACTGGGTGCTGTACTGCTCTTGCTTTCTCTTTCTTTCTGAAATCCTGACATGTTCAAGAGTGTTTACTTGCTCAGTGCTTGTACATCTCTTAGACGTGCATTCTCACTAACATCATTTCATGTTGATTCATGTAAATAGTGCTCCAGCAATGGCATGTGGAGTGGAAAACTGAATTAATCTGGGCGGTCCCCTTAATGGGCGATCTGTTTCATAATTTGTACAAAGAAATTTCTACAAGGAAACTGCTTTCTTCCCAAACACTTTGTTGCCTAACTCTTAGCAGAACAAAACTGTCTTTATAGCTCATCTCAAAATTGTTTCAACTTGCAGTTCAGTCCCCACATCCTCTGTTTGTTCAGCGTTCCATGGGAAGCTCCACCCTCACTTCCAGCTAATATCCATGTTAACCCACAGCTTGATTTTCCCAGTTCCTCCTTGGCCCGCTCACAGCACTTGCTTTTTCACTGGCCGCCAGCCTTGCAAGCAGTGGTCGTCTCCACGCAGTGCTGGCAGTGGCAGCCCAGGACTTCTCGGGTCAAGCAGCCTCTTCGGCTTGCTGCGAAGCACAGCATGATTGTGGGGACGGTCCTCTGCCAGTCCAGCAGCTATGGCAAAGAGGGCAAGCTGCTCTGCTGCCTTGGCGAGGGAACCTCTGAGCCTGGTGTGAGTTTCACAGGTATGGTGCTCAGGGATGTAATGTTGTTCTATCCCTTTTCTGTGTTTCTCTGCTTCAAAGAGGATGTGGGCCCTTTCAAGTCTATTTTTGTCTTGTAGTTCGAGACCAGGCAGGACTGAGATTGGCTGCTTTTGTCTGGGTTTTAGGATTATTGAAATGCTTCATTTTTATGAGCAGTTACACACTTAGTATTTTAGAAATAGAGACCACTTCAGGACTTGGTGTGACTCTAAAATTCAAGATTTAGTGTATACTACCTCCTGCTGTTGGACTGAAGAGATTGGTAATCGCAGTGTTGGCACAGGGTGGGGGACAAAACACCCCATACATGTTGGCTGAATAGGAAAAGGTTCATATCCGGAGAGAAGCAAATTGTATTGTGGGAATAAAGAAAAGGAAGGAGATGGATGAAGCATAACGGCCTCGCATGACTGCGTATTACTTATACACTGAATGATGATGTAAGTTTTCCATTGTGTAGGAAATGAAACTGGCAATATGTGATTTATGGTTAGCCCTTAAAAGGAGCTGATATGAAACAGAACTTCTCAGCTCATTTCCTTAATCTTGGTGTGAATAGATCTTGCAGACTATTCAGTTGGAGGGGTACAATTTGTGATATGCTTGGGTTATCTTAGTTTCCTTAATGAGGTCTATGCATTTATCATGTTTCACTGACCTTCCATATCCTTACATATTGGATGGTATAGATCCCACACTGTACTGAGCAGCATAGTTTATTGTGTAATAATCTGCAATAGGTACTTTTATATCTTGGTAAATTCCCCTTTAGCAGATGTTGGGTGACCTTTACAGTTACTTAAGCATCCAAGTCACTCTAAAAATGAAAGTGAAGGAAGTTAGTGAGACATGAACTCTTAAAAGCATTTGATTTTTAGGTAATGTGATTTTTAGGTAAGCACTGTAGCTAAGTGAATGAAGCTCCTCATCAAACATTAACTTCTGCTGACTTTTTTTTTTTGTCCATAAAGTGGGTGTTAAGAACATGTGCCAGCCTCCCAGGCATTCCCAAGAAAGTGGTAGTAGTCCCACATCTGCTTTGAATCCATGCTGTCAACCCAGCACAGCACCACAAATGGTTTCATGTGGGCAGAGCTGCTCGGCAGTAAGCAGCAGGTGGCGTTTCTGCTGGTTTTGCCTTGGCTAAAGTGCCCGCTGCTGGGCTCAGCGTGATCAGGCTTAGCTATTCACAGCATCTGCCACAGCAGCTCTGAGGCTGAGCTGGTACTAGGCTGCTTCAGGCTTACCCATCAAGGGCATGGTGAAATGCTTAACTCTATAGCGGTTGGATGCTCAGTTCATGAGCTTTTCTGGCTTGAGAGAGAAATTTAAAGTATGCTTTGATTTAGAAAAAATGCATATATTTCTGTTTAAATTCTGTCATGTTTTGGCAGACATATAATTGAAAGTAAGAAGTTATTTAAACACCATTAAGGTATTTTGGAGCTGAAAGGTTGGGTATTTTTTGGAAAGATTGCCTACTTTTGTATTTGCTCCTTAGCAGGGATACATAAGTCAGATTTCTTGTATAGCGTATTTGCTGAGTAACTTTGCTTAAGGCACTGAAACACTAATATAAGTCACTGTAGAAGTATAAAGAATGTACTATTTAATTAAAAATCTGTATTTCTAGTCCATAGAGAGTGGTGGATTTAGAAACGTGTTCTTTCCTGGTGCTTAACAACTGGACATGCATATGCACTCATCCAGCCCTAAAAAATTTACAGTGGAATGTTGGCATCCATGCTGTAATATAGGTAGCTGAGCAGACGTTGGGATTTTCTCTCTTTGCCATGATAGTACCCAGTGTGATGGGTTAATATATTGTAAAACTAATTGCAGTTGATGGTTAGGAACAAAAAGTGGCTTAAATATTGTATCTGCAGATAGTGAAATCAAAGAAGTGACATTTTGGTAGCTTAATCTCTAGTCACTTCTGTTCTTGCTAGGAGAAACTTGATAGAGAGCTACTTTGGCAAGGCTCGGGAGGTAGGTTATTAAGTAATTGCAAGATGAACAGGTAATACAAGCCATAATTACCAGAAATGCAGTCAAAAGCGACTTAGCTATCTGTTTAAAAACAAAACAGAACAAACCTCAACCGTTTACTTTCTCAAGTACCTACAATACTGTCAAAAAATTGCACGTGGATGCTGGGAAATTCCCTTTGTCCTCGTTTTCCAGGCTTGAGCTCTGTCCTGTGACACAGATTTGGCATATGCTTGTCTATTACTTGGCACAGGCATCTTCCTGTTTTGTGTCTCACTGATTTCCCAGTTTTCCCATCCTGTATTGCATTTGAGCTCTTTCTTAAAGAGAATGAAGTGCCTTACAGACTGGCTCTGACTCACAAATGTAATTCTCATGGGCATGCAGGGAAGGGGGTAGTCACATGTACACGTTCTCTGGCAGTGGTCTGCTTCAAAATGTCCTGAGCCTGACTTCTCTGCTCCTCAGAAGTGGGCCAAAGCAATGATTGTAAAGCAAAGAAAGCCTCTCATTTTTTAAAGAGGACTTTTTTGTTTAGTGCATTTAATGAAATCTCTTTAGAGTGTACATTTCCAGAAGTTCAACAAGAGAATTCGGAAATATATATTGGGATGGGAACTTATGACAGTTGTGCCATCAGAGAAAATATTTGTATCTTTACACCTTCTTATTTTTTTGCCCCCTTAAGCAGCCCACATATATGAAACCAGATCATTGCTCTTTCTCTTAATATTGAAATTTATTCTGCTAGATGTTCCTGGAAAACCTCTCTATGAGGTGTTGGAAAGCAAGTGGTGATCTTGGCATAGTGCTACCATGAAGTGTTCAGACAGTTTTGCTTTTTACCACAGTTCATTCCAAAACCCTGTGTTATTTATGTTATTTTTCATCATGACGGGAACTGGGGGGGCTTTTGTCTATGAAAGAAGTCTGATTCTTCCCCCCACACCCTTGTACTATCAAGTTTGCATCAGTTGTCCTTTGTAAAAGCAGAACTGCCTGGGTATTCAGAAACACTGCTGCTAAATACCTGGCATCACCCTTACTACTTTCTGTCCCTGTCAAGTTTTCCACAGCCTTGAAATGTATTACAAACCACCATCATTCCTGCTAATACTGAGTTAGTTACTGTCCCAACCTATAGATTTAATTTGTGTCATAATTCAGTGTGTCTTACCTGTCCTTGTAACATCAGTTTCAGATCCAGGCTATCTACTTCGGCCACAGAAACAATAAAGACATAAAACAACATTTCAGTATCTCACATAATAAAAAAAAGCACTTTTAATTTCTCACCCATTTTTTATCTATGAATGCTTAAATACTTTCAAGTAAAGTGTATATATTATCATATAATAAATATTAAACAGAAATTTTATATACATAGCTCACTACTTGGTATACAGGCAGTTAATTACTTTCTCCAGCCTCTATTAGAAGTACCCTAGAAAACAAAGAGTCACCAAAGTGGGGATTGAACACAACTGATGTAAGATGTGCAGACATGGTGTTCCCTTTCCATAAAGAGCATACTGTGCAGTAGGAGCTTTGCTCTGCTCTACAATGGGTTTTGATCTGTTTACAGTGATACGCAAAGTAATTTCCTCTTCTGTTCTTTCTTCAGAGGCCCTGCACCACCCCTATGGTTGCGATGTTGAACCCCAGGCACTGAATGAAGCCATCAGATGGAGCTCCAAGGAGAACCTTCTTGGAGCCACTGAGAGCGATCCCAATCTCTTTGTTGCACTTTACGATTTTGTAGCAAGCGGTGACAACACGCTCAGCATCACCAAAGGTAAGGCCACCTGTGAATCGCAGAGCAGCTCCTAGATTGAAAACTTAGTAACAGAAAGCAGAATCCTTCTCCTGTCATTCTTTTGGAAGGAACAGGAATGAGTGCAGCTGGAGAAGATGATTCTGTACACTGGTGGTTACAAGCAGATGGTCTCTGTATGGCTTGTGCTGGAGGACAACTGCCAGGCAGTGCTCTAGGTGCAGACATGGCTTTGTACAACACTGCCAAACACCCCAGCCCAGCTATGGCTGTTCCCCTTCTAGGCTCCCCAGATCATCAGCCCTTTGAGACACCTATTTTGGGGATAGGCAAAGGAAGACCTTTGTATTATCAATGGTAACAGAACTCAGCACTCTCAACTGAGGCAAAATCCAGAATTAAGAATTTCACAGAGATTTTCTCTTCAGTACATATATCGGAATATGACCTGCTGTAGAACTGTTTTAAATCACATGCCATTTAAGGCCTCAAGAAGGAGACAAACCTCATCCCTCCAAGAAAAAAAAATCTTTCTAGTCTAAAAAACTGGACTACTGGAAGCTTTTTGAGTTCATCAATCACACAGCAGTAAATTAGGGAACAGTATCCTAGTTATTCTCTCTGAAACTTTACTTTATAAATACTTAATATATAGCAGTTTAGTTAGAAGATCACTGCTGCAGATTTTTATTGTTAAGCTGCAAACCCAGGCCTAGTCAGCTGACGTTAGTGTCTCCCTTAATGAGACCCAGTAGATTGTGCTGTGCTTATTTTGCTTTTTTCTTTCTGGTCATAGGTGAGAAGCTGCGAGTCCTGGGTTACAACCAGAATGGTGAATGGAGTGAGGTACGTTCGAAGAATGGGCAGGGCTGGGTACCAAGCAACTACATCACACCGGTGAACAGCCTGGAAAAGCATTCATGGTACCATGGGCCAGTGTCACGCAGTGCAGCAGAGTATCTGTTGAGCAGTCTCATCAATGGCAGCTTCCTGGTTCGTGAAAGCGAGAGCAGCCCAGGGCAGCTATCCATCTCGCTCAGGTACGAAGGACGTGTTTACCACTACAGGATCAATACCACCTCAGATGGAAAGGTAAGGATCTCTGAATAATGCTGTGGGGAGAGGAAATAAGGATATTAATTAAGAGGTGGTACAGAATCTCAAGTTGCAGACTGTTAAGAGAGGGATCCATGTGAGAGAAAACAGGCCCACTGGTTGATTAATATAAAAAAAGAACATGTATGCTAAGAGTTCTATGGTAACTCACTGAACACCTCTTTGGAAGAAGTGCAGACAGTACTTATCTAGGCTAAAAGCAGCTAGGGAGCAAAGCAGTTGTGGTTTGATGTCATATCTTTTCATTAATCTACTTCGAACAAGCAGAGCTTTGGTAAGTCAGCAGTTTTGATCAGCATGTTGAAACCTTGATCAAATAGCAGTACATTGTGTTGAGATATGCAGAAACTGCATTTGGCTACAAGAATTCTGGTTTCTAGTCCTGTAAAGCACGAAGCGGGAGACAGCACTGCTCTCAAGTGATGGCTTGTATTAGCTGCCTTCTGCAGGTAAAAATCCCAGTTTAATTTTAATTTGCACAACAACATGAGAACAAATACTCTAAAGTCTGGAAGTCTGGTTCCCTTACCTTTTTTTCTTTTTTTTTTTTTTTTTTTTTTTTAAACTTGCTAGAATGTTTTTATTGTACCTGTTTTCCAGTTTTACTGAAAGCTTCCAGCTGCCTTCATTTAAGTAGATTCCTGGTTTGTTCTTAACAGGTATATGTGACAGCAGAAAGCCGTTTCAGCACCCTAGCAGAGCTAGTGCACCATCACTCAACAGTAGCAGATGGACTGGTGACAACTTTGCATTACCCAGCACCCAAGTGCAATAAGCCCACAGTCTATGGAGTGTCCCCCATCCATGACAAGTGGGAGATGGAGCGGACTGACATCACCATGAAGCACAAACTTGGGGGAGGGCAGTATGGTGAGGTGTACGTTGGTGTCTGGAAGAAATACAATCTCACGGTTGCTGTGAAAACATTAAAGGTGAGTTTACAGGTTGTTATGCACTGTTCATTTGGTCACCCGTTGTGATAAGGGTAAGGAGATGGTAATGCTCTTAGTTATACCTCCTAATGATAGGAATATCAGAAAATGGAGTGTGCTGTTCTGCATAAAATCTGTGCTTGAGAGTAGCTTTGCAGAACAGATTTAGCTTATCAAACTTGCACCAGTGTGTGTGGCTTAGAAACTATTTGGAATTTTGGCCCAGCAAGCTGCTGCAGGAATATCCTGAGTCAGATCTGTAGAAATGGTTACCAAGTTCACTTCCCTTACCTCAGAAGAGCTGCAAAGCTTTAAGAAATCTAAAGTGTTGGAAGTACCTTCTACAACCTCTCTGCTTCTCCTGGGGAAATTCAGCTTCTCCATTTATCTTCCTTGTCAAAGCCGTCTGTTTGTTTCAACATTAACAGCTACAATTCTATGTACCCTCTAAGGAAGGGAGTGTTCAAGCTTAATTGTTATAGCTAGGCAGCTAAGTCTCGCCAGCCACAGCTGCTTTGGTAGCCACAATAGCTAGCAAAGAAGAAAGCCTAGCACTTCCTGAGCACTCAGATCTGTCACTTGTCCATGCCACAGGCCAGCCAGCCAGCCTTTCAGGGCTGTTCTGTTTTCCTTAGGTAAAAGCCAAAAGAGTAGAATGGAAGTAAGGATGCCATCATTTATATTCAGCTCGGATATGTGGTGTTAAGCAGACCTTGGTCATGAAGATAAATTTTCCATTCTTTTGCCCCTCTGTTTATCCAGGAAGATACCATGGAGGTGGAAGAGTTCTTGAAAGAAGCTGCTGTGATGAAGGAGATCAAGCATCCAAATCTAGTGCAGTTGTTAGGTTAGTGAAATTCCTTCCTCTTTCTCTTCTTAATTGAGTTCCCACCAAAATATAATCTCTCTTGCATAAAAGTAGTGGCAGATTTTCTGTCTTTATGTAACTTTTTGAATCAGGTCAGGTTTTGGGGTGATATTTTTGACAGCTTGCTCCTTTATGTATTATTGGAGGTAAGAGACACTAATTTTAAATAAAACATCAAATATAGTAAATGACATTAGTAGACAACTTTCCTGTTGAGGCATGACTATGCTTTTTATATAAAAGTTTGCAATATCAGTCTCCTTTCAGTTGGTACCCTTGGCCTTATCAGGGTCAGATTCCTTTTCTGCTGTGTTAAATCAGATTTACATAATTATTTCCCATTACTTATTTTTCTGATAGAACAAAATTATAAGAAAATTCAAAGTGAAGGAAAAAAATTACATTGGAAGCACAACAAATACCATTCTTCATACTTCTCAAATCAGAGACATTTATAGAAAAATCTGTACTAAATAGAAAAATAAGTCCATAATTAAGCAGAAGATGACCACATTGCTAACTGTTGTAAGGGACCCTGTGTATCACCAAAAAGGTACATGAGATCAAGGCAGTGAAGATGCAAGTCAGATCAAACAGCACGTGAATGGAAGAAATCTTCAGGCTTTACAGCTTGGCTATGCCCTGTTTGTCTCACTGACAAGTGCATGACATAATGGTCATTATTCAGTAGTCTGCATAGCTGTTAATTCTACATGTGCAAAGATTCTTAAGGAGACACCCTAAACCTTTACTAGTGTTTAATTGCCTCTGGACTTTTGCTGCTTTCAGGAGCAAAGCTGTCAAGCCAAGCCTAGGATGAAATGTGAAGAATGTGAAGGCTTTTAATAATGGCAACTATTCTATACCCATTTAAAAAATGGGCACAGATGAAGTGTCTGCCTAAGCCCTGTCTGGTTCTAGGGGTAGAGACTAAAAGATCTCTCATCACAGAGATGCATTTTTGTTCTCTCTGATGCACAGTGTATTTGTGTTTTACTCCTATATGTGCCTAGTGGTTTGAACAGGCATTCAGCAGTGCTGCAGTGGGACTCACAGAGATTTGACATGAGTATCCTGTTGCCCTCCTCCACTAACACATACTTTGTACAAAATTGCAATGACTGTAGCAAGCAGTCATCTGAGGAATGTGTGAGAATGCCGCTTTAGGAGCAGGTCCCACTGTGCTGATCACTTGCCCAGCTAGCACACATGGGAGTGTTTCACATTACTCGCTAGTGACATTTCAGTCTGGAAATCTTACCAGTTGACAGGTACCTCCTTCCAGTTGGCCATGGCCACTCCTTAGCTTTATGAAGGAAGAGAGGGGAAGAAAAGCAAATCATATGTGTTCAAAATAACTCCTATTTCATTCTGTAACCCTCCAAAGAAGAGAACTACTCCTTCATGTATATTATATAGGAATGGCAGTGTTCTGATAGACATGTTTCCCTCTGTCCATGAAGTGATGGACAGGTAAATAGACATAAGTACTGAATTTTAAGCTGGGCTGCATTTGTCTGTATTTGTAGATGGAGATGTACAATACAGATGTACTGTATTTGTAGATGGAAGTCTTTGCTTTTCAGAGAAATGCTCATCAGTACAAAATGTGACAAATGGATATTAAATCAGGGATAGTGGTAAGCTGAGGAAGCAAGGGAAGCTTTGTTCATATGCTCCCTCCTCCTCGCTGCTAGGTGTATGTACCCTGGAGCCACCCTTTTACATTGTGACAGAATACATGCCGTATGGGAACCTGCTAGACTATTTACGGGAATGCAACCGGGAGGAAGTGAGTGCTGTTGTGCTACTCTACATGGCCACTCAGATCTCCTCTGCTATGGAATACCTAGAGAAGAAGAACTTCATTCACAGGTGGGTAAAGTCACACTGAGCTGGTACAGTTTCAGATTATCATGATGACCAGGCCACCAGTATGGAGCCCCAGGAATTCCTCCTTTTGGGGAGGTTTATTCCAGAGTTGTTTCACACTGGCTTATCCACTGGCTGTTTTCGTTTCAATACTGCCTTGCAATACCTTCTGCCTGTGACTTCTGTAGCAGTCTTACAATCTTCTGCATGACTGACTGACACATAGGAAAGTTGCTGTTGTCCTGTTCTGATGCACCCCCTCTCTGCAAGACATTGTCAACCCCAAGTCCTATTTTAATCCAGTTAGATAAAGCTGTGCCATAAAGCTGTTACCAGTGTGTGACGAGCTGCTGATCTCATCTTAATCTCAGGAAACACAAACTTCTCATTGTAACAGCTGTCATTACTGGAAATTTAATAGAACTTAAAGAATGAACCCTAATCCTGGTTTACCTTTTTTCCCATAAGAATAAGCTCACTCAGTTTCTGATGCTGTTCAGAGCAAAGCTTGTGTGGCCTTTACCTGCTGTATAAAGAGAGTGCTTCTGTGATTCCCTATTCAGAAGAGTGGGACAGGCTATGCAACCATAAGACTGTATTCAAAAGCCCCGCTCTTGCTCCAATAACATGCTTTCTTCCTTTGTATAGGGACCTGGCAGCACGGAACTGCTTAGTTGGAGAAAATCATGTGGTGAAGGTGGCTGACTTCGGCTTAAGTCGACTTATGACTGGAGATACCTACACAGCTCATGCTGGAGCCAAGTTCCCAATCAAATGGACAGCCCCTGAGAGCCTGGCCTATAACACGTTTTCAATCAAATCAGATGTGTGGGGTAAGAAAACTCCACTTCGATGTTCTTCTCTATTTCATTTTGTTTTTCTTTGCCAACCTAGATAGTAACTTGCTTTCTGGTCTGGGCAAAAACATGTGGGGAGGAGACGGTCATGTGCCAGACCACAACTTAACAAATCAATAGCATTTTTAGCAAGTAGTATCTTCACCTAGACTGGCCTGAAATATCTGCAAGAAAATGATGCTGCCTTAAGCTGCAGTAAAGGCCACAATGTAATGAGCAACATAAGAGGAGGGCAGATTTATCACCAGCAATTTTGTTTTCCTCCCTTTTCAGCCTTTGGTGTGCTGTTATGGGAAATTGCTACCTATGGGATGTCACCATACCCAGGGATTGACCTCTCTCAGGTGTATGATCTGCTAGAAAAGGGCTATCGGATGGAACAACCTGAGGGATGCCCTCCAAAGGTTTACGAATTGATGAGGGCATGTGAGTATCTTCTTCAAGGTTGGGGGTTAAATCTGTAATTAACTCTGAAGTCCCTGCTTCTTACATGCCATTTTGTTAGCTAATGTGGAAAAGGCCCTGTCACCTGAGATGGACCTGGTGACTGATGCAAAATGAGTCTGGTCTCTAGGGAACAAGAATTCACTCTCAAAAACCCATCTCTGAGTACAGCTAGATTTGTGGCAAATTGTACTGGTATTTTGTCAGTAGGACTCTTACTATGGAATCACCAAATTAGAAGGAAATTTAGTTCTCTGCAAAAACAGCACCTATGTAGTTGACACATAGTTCACAAGGTTGCACAAAACGCATCCTCCAGTTGTATCATGAAAAGCTCCCTAATGCTCCATAACAAATTGAAAATCTACAAATAAAAGCCCAAAAGATAGAGCGTGCTACAGGAGGAGCACAATAGAGTTTAAGAGCATTGCCAATCTCCTTCAGTCCCGCAAGAACAGAGAACATATTGGGCAAAAGGCTGAAGATCCTAGGGAGCAAACCAGGCCATGCTGTTGAATAAGGTAAGCAGAGACCCCCTGTCAGTGTGACCAGGGTGGGAAGAAACTCCTTGGTGCTATCTCGGGCAGTCTGTGTGGCCCTCAATGTACAAGGCAGACAAACCGGGTCTTAAGGGACCATTCTACAGCCTGTTCCTAGCAATGCGTGATCCCCAGCATGTCAAAGAAAGTCAGGGAGAACTTCAATTGTGAAACAAAGAAGCTGAGTAATGATGGAGGATGTTGCTTCAGAAAAACCTTCAGGAAGTTGACAAAAGCCCAAAAACCAGAGAATTGATATGATATTAAAGGAGCCCAAAATGAGCAGAATGCCAGTCACTTTCCAGACCCTATGGTGATATCAACAGGTAGTGCTTCTAGAACACATTCCCTTAGCACAGATTTCTAACTACAGAACTTACACTTTTCATCATGATACCCTTCTATAACTTTCCAAGCTCCATCTTAGATCAATGCACTCTCTTCCTCTTTACCCCTCAGGATGCCTACATTCTTCTTTTGGAAGGCTCTGCCTGAATTTCAGTATTAAGAGCATGTGAGCAGAATGTTGTCTGGAACTTTGGACACATAGTTACCTGTGACTGGGTTAGATGTGTTCAGTCTAAACAGCCAGGGTAGCAAACATGGAATTCTCCTTTGCCCAAAAAATTCAGAAAGAGGGACAGGGAGATCAGAAAAACCTGTGGAGTTGGCAGAGAGCTGGGATTTTTAGAATTGGTTCCTTCCTATGAAGATCTGTTTGGTCGGGTAGGGTAGGGTGACTGACTGCTGCCATGAATTGATCTGTGAATGACTCCAGTCTGTTTAATGATAGGAGATCAGAGTCTGACTACAGTTGAGAAAACTTAAGTATTTTCTGTCTCCTTTGACAAAATAAAAATCTGTCTTCTAACTTCTTCAGGCACTGAGACTTACTTTGCTTTCTCACACTGCAGGCTGGAAGTGGAACCCACCAGACCGGCCTTCCTTTGCTGAGACCCACCAGGCTTTTGAAACCATGTTCCATGACTCGAGCATCTCAGAGGGTGAGAGCCCCTGTTGCTTTATTTCTGAAACAGTATCAGAGGTTATCCCCAGAGTGCTGTCTTATGGACAGGCCCTTAAGGCTCATGTGCTAGCAGTGGAGGTTGTGGTGAAGCTTCATCCCTTACTTATTTCCTTAAGCATAAGGGGGTAAAAACGTTCTCTTACTTCCTGCACAAATGCCAAATAAACTTTAGACATAGAGCAGTGCAGGGGACAGTATAGTTTAATTTGTGCACTAAGATACCAAAGAGTTAAAGAATATTGTCTTCTCTATTAGAGGAAGCCTCTTGTTTCTCAGACTGAAGAGTAAGGAATAGTGAGTGATGCTGAGAGAGAGAAAGATGCATGCATATCACAGTCCCTTGCTGAATGCAGCATTTAGGTCATGAAATATTATTCTACCAGCCTTCATTTTTAAAAAGTGTGCCTTAATCTCTTAAGCTACTTGGCTAATTCTGGGAGTAAATCTGTGCAACTCAACTCTCAAATATAATCAATGAGGAGGTAAATACTGGTGAGAAGTGTGATACTAGACAGCAGACAAGCAGAAATATCTGAACATCTTCTAAATTTTTAAATTAAATGTGAAGCTGATCCATCCACTTCCCCACTACATAAAAACCACAGCAGATCAGATTCTACCAGGGAGCATCTATAACAGGCGCATCAAATGGCACACACAGATGCCAACCTGGGTGTGGCCTGGAGATTGTGTGGGTTGTTTCTGTTTTTTTTTTTTCAGTCACATACCTTGTACTGATGTTAGGAAGGAGATAGACAGTCTTCATTTTTAATAGGGAGGTGCAGTGCTTTGTCTTAAACAAAGCATCATAGATCCAGATCCAGAGAGGACACAACTTTTGGGGGATCCCAGGAGCATCAACAGGAGGCATCTTAATTAAAACCAGAGACAAATGCATTCTGTGCTGGCTTCAGCTCTTGAGCAACCCTTAACCCAGTAGAGAGCTACATTTGTGCTAGACCTCTTGTACAGATCCTACCACTGGGGTGTTTTTGCTGAATTTATAAAGATGTAAATGAGTTTGGAAGCATTATAAAAAAAACCATCTTCCCCTGAATACCTCTAGACTTGAGCAAAAATTAAATCCATAAGCTATGTATTTCTGTCTTGTATCTTTTCTTGCCAGTCTGGGTTTGCAGTAAAGACTCTCAGATTTTCTTTCCCTCCTCATCTGCTGGTCTCTGTTCCAACTATTCCCCCCTGGTTTTTGTTTAGCTTTATTTTTTTCTTTTTTTCTTCCCTGACAGAGGTGGCAGAGGAGCTTGGAAGAACAGCCTCTTCCTCATCCATAGTTCCTTACTTGCCCCGGTTACCCATGCTTCCCTCCAAGACTAGAACACTGAAGAAACAGGCAGAGAACAAGGAAAACATTGAAGGCACACAAGATACTGTGGAGCACTCGGCTTCCAGCTCAGCACCAGGTATGCACACTGGGAAAGTGGCAGTGAGGCCACGTGTTCTGGGATAGGCTTGCTACTGGTGGAAATTGTCAGAGAAATAGAAGAAAACAGAACAATGTGCATTGCTATGTTATTAGAACTGTTGGCCACCTCAGCAGCCCAATTATTTACTAGCAAATAGAAAACACTGCAGCTTACTCAAATGTTCTTTTAGTAAATCTCATTGTATTTTTTTCTTTTAAACTTAGTTTTGCTGCTCTTTTTTAAATGATGGCTTCAAAACTAAAGTTGACAGTGCGAGAGATTTTTCTTTCATACTTGTGGTATTTGAGGAAGGAGGAAAAAAACTGCTGGAAGAAAAAAGCAACATCACTTTTTCCTGAACTCTATCCTAAGTGGGCTCCTCGGTATAGACAACAATCAAGTCACACACATGCAGAAGTGGAAAAAAAAGTAAAAAAATCAAAATCACACCAGCCTCGCAAAAAACTGAAAGCACTAATCTCCTCTCAACCTTTCCCTGGGGAACCTGGGCAGCTAAATACATCAGGCCCATAAAGCCCACTGCAGGATGGGGGGGTGGAAATGGAAACTGATTTTGCAGATTCACGCTTATTTCTTCTGTCTAGGTTTTATCAGAAGCACAAAGCCAACAAGTGGGTCTCCCGCACTGCCTCGCAAGCAGAGGGACAAGTCACCCAGCAGCCTGTTGGAGGATGCCAAAGAGACCACTTTCACCAGGGACAGAAAAGGTGGCTTCTTCAGCTCCTTTATGAAGAAGAGGAATGCTCCCACACCTCCCAAGCGCAGCAGTTCCTTCCGGGAGATGGAGAATCAGCCCCATAAGAAATATGAGCTGACGGGTAACTTTTCATCTGTAGCTTCCTTGCAGCATGTGGATGGGTTCTCTTTTGCTCCCGTGCAGCAGGACGCAAGCCTGGCGCCACCCAAGTGCTATGGTGGGAGCTTCGTGCAGAGGACCTTCTACAACGATGATGGCACTGGTACCAGCAGTGGTGGGGGTGTAAGCACCGGTGGCGGGTGGTCGGGCATCACTGGTTTCTTTACACCACGCTTGATTAAAAAGACACTGGGTTTACGAGCAGGAAAACCCGCTAGCAATGAAGAAGCTTCAAAGCCTTTTCCAAGGTCAAACTCTACATCTTCCATGTCCTCAGGGCTTCCAGAGCAGGATAGGATGGCAATGACCCTTCCCAGAAATTCCCAGAGGTCAAAAGTCCAGCTGGAACGGACAGTGTCCACCTCCTCTCAGCCTGATGAGAGCACAGGGAGGGCCAATGACCTGCTTCCCAAAAGGTTTGAAGAAGGCCCTGCTTTGACCAGAGAGAGACCAAAAGCAAAACTCTTGCCAAGGGGTGCCACAGCACTCCCTTTCCGAACCCCCTGTGGATCGGAAGAAAAGGAGGGTCCAGGGCTAGCAGCAGCTTCTAAAGGCAAAGAAAAAAACAGTGCCCAACGGCAAGGGGCCCTTGAGGATGGCGAGAGACTGGGGTGGTCATCTCCAGTAAAGGCTGCAGCAATACTTCCAACCACTCATAACCACAAAGTGCCAGTTCTAATCTCACCCACTCTAAAACACACTCCAGCAGACGTGCAGCTCATTGGCACAGACTCTCAGGGTAATAAATTTAAGCTCTTATCTGAGCATCAGGTCACTTCTTCTGGCGACAGGGACCGGCCCAGACGGGTAAAACCAAAGTGTGCTCCACCTCCACCACCAGTGATAAGGCTCCTGCAACAGCCAGCTGCCTGCTCAGATGCAGCAGAAGAGCTGAGCAATGTGGCAGGAGCGCAGCACGGACTGGAATTGAGCGAAGGGAGTAAGAAGGCAGCAGCAGCAGCACCTGTTGGTGGAAAATCTGGGAGGCCCGTGATGCCTCCACCTCAAGTGCCTCTGTCATCGTCTTCCACCTCCCCAGTGAAAATGGCCAACGGCACGGCTGGCGCAAAAGTAGCACTAAGAAAGACCAAACAGGCAGCCGAGAAAATCTCCGCAGACAAAATCAGCAAGGAAGCACTGCTGGAGTGCGCAGATCTTCTCTCGAGTGCCATCGCTGAGCCGACACCAAACAGCCAGCTGGTGGACACAGGGCACCAGCTGTTGGATTACTGCTCAGGCTACGTGGACTGCATCCCGCATACACGCAACAAATTCGCCTTCCGGGAAGCCGTGAGCAAACTGGAACTCAGCCTGCAGGAACTGCAGGTGTCCTCGACAGCTGCTAGCGTCCCTGGGGCAAACCCCGTCCTTAATAACTTATTGTCATGTGTCCAAGAAATCAGCGATGTGGTGCAAAGGTAGCTACTGTCAATCTGGGTAAGAGAAATACACATGGGGTGGGGGTGGGGTGTTCGAACGGGACTTTTTTTCTGTACTGATGCTTTCAAAAGGAAAGACTGATACTTGAGTATGTGAAGTACCTCAGATCACTGAGTTCTCCTCACGTTTACAGGTTCATCTCAAAAAATGGGGATGGAGAGGGTAGATTAAAGCTGTAAGGGGCAGAACATCAAGTATTTGTCCCTACCTAGTCAGGGTGATCTGCTTGGTATGGCAAAGGGAGGCAGTTCCCTACTCCTCCCTTGGAGAGGCAGGAGAATTGATGGCAGGTTCTTGCTCTGGGAAGGATGGTTTAACATGTGATAGCTGGAGTACTGGAGTGGCTGCGGGCTGTTGGGCCGTACAGATCCTCCCCTGTCTGCACTAACGTGTGTGTTGGTCTCCTGATGAGGCAAAGGAAAGGCACTGGGGTTCCTTTGGTACCAACTGCCAAGCAGTCTGAGCCGGAGTAGCTCCGAAGGGGGAGGAGGTTGCATGCGGTTGGGGGAAAGGTCTAATGCACTGACAGTATTCAGAGCTGCTGGAGGTGGATGCACTAGCCGAGATGGCTTACTTCCACAGTGCTGTTGCTGCTGTAATGAGAACTGCAAAATTAGTTAATATATGAAACTATCCCTTTTCCCTCCTGTCCACTTCATCCACCACATGTTCTCATCTTCATTGTATCTGAAGCGTCAGGGATGCTGGGCAGACTTACCACTGGAACACCCCCTTCCCCACCACACAGCCTTCTCTCAGTTAATACCTATTTCTAGTGGTCTAGCATGGATGCTGCTTGATGGTCACTTGTGAGTAGTTTGGGGCTCTTGCACAACTTCCCAGTGTTGTTATTGAGGTGAGTGGACTGGGTGTTTGGTTTTTTGGGTATTTTTTAAGCTCTAGATTGTTTCTAACTTGTTATCAGGTTGACTCCCCAACTCAGTTTCATCACCTTGAGGACCCGTGGTAGGTAAGGCAGAGCCTCCCCCACCCCCGGCTGTTCTCCACATTCCTTTAGCAGTCGTAGCGCTGCGGGGCCAGCTGGAGAGCCAGAAAGGACAGCCTGGCCTGCCTGCCATGCGTCCTCGCTGCTTCAGGAGTCTTGGATCTGTCCCTACTTTTGGTGTAACACCACCACTTCACACTGGCCGTTTCCTGGGATTTGTTCTAGTGCTTACCAGCCTCGCAGGCTTTCAGCTTCTCTGCCTAGGAAGCTGACTAGGTACAGCAGCATACAGGGGAACCACAGCTATCTTTCTTTAATTTATTCCTGTGTTTTAAAGGCTAGATAAGAATCTTATGCTGTAGCGTAAGGAACATGCACATAAATGACGCGCTCCTCTGAGGTGTGACAACAAATGTTACAGCTCTGCCTCAGAGGGCTCCCCTGGGGTTATGGTCTCTGATGCCTACTGACAATCCCAGAATGAAAGTAGTCCCGTGGTTTAAGTTGCCTCCCGTGGTCCTAGTGCTGTTTGTAGACTGTTGTGGCCTCAAAAAGCTGGTCTTCGGCGTGTACGCACAACCTCCAAGATGTTAATGTACTGGCAAGTAGGAAGACCTCAACTAACTGTTGGTTTGTGAGAGGAAGAAAACAGGCCTGATACCTGGCTCCAAATCCATGTTACCCTGCATGCTGCTGCTCACTTCACACTGTTGGTGATGGTAGAAGATCTCGCTTGCTTTGCACCTTAAATCTTTTATTTTTGGCTAAAATGCTTTTTTAACTTGTTTTTAATGTGTGACTGTGCTGCTTTTAGTTTGAGCATTTACAGTTGAGCTGGGACACACGTGTGAATTTAGAAGATGGGCACTTCCATTTTGGTCTAGAAGCATGGCCGTGTTGGTGCTTGGAAGTAGGCTGGGCTGTCTCAGTGAGTGTCCCTGTTTTTTCCATGGAGTGTAGTGAGACAGGGGCCTGAAAAATCTTTAGAAATGGACTGCTGTCTGAGAATCTTCATCTGATTGCTGGTCTGTGGTAAACAAAGTTGTGTCATGATGCATGAATGCACACCAGTGGAGCAGTATGCGAGGTGAAATGGACCATTTCAGCTTCACTGTCCAAGTGAGTGGAATGGGGAGGGAGGGGGGAAAAGCAACCCCTCCACCCCAACTGACAGGCATTAAAGTGAATTAATTATTCCTGTGAGTCAGTTTTACTCCAGTGAGCTGGTACCTCAGTGGAGACAAATGAAAGTACAGCATGGGTTACTCATCCTGACTTAGCCGTACCAAGCTTAACCCACCAAAGCCTGTCCTCTAATTCTGCAGTAGGATCTTCAGCTAGCCCAGGCTCTTTTGCAGCCTTCAAGGCTGCGGGTCAGGGGAGTCTGGGCTGGGACTCTTCCACAGCAATGCCCAGCTGTAAGACAGAGTACCAAACCATTATCTTTTAGACTTTACTGAGGGCTTTTGTGGTTTACCTTATCTCTTTCAGTCATCTTAGTTTGGTGTGCAGCGATGCACACTTTCAACAAACTGCCTTTGGAAAGGTGACCTGCAAAGGGAAGGAGGCTTGCGATATTGCTTCATGTGGCCTTTCAAACAATCAGAAGGGTTTAAAAGGTATGGGAGCTTTCTTCAGGGCAGAAGGGCAGGTCGTGGTTGTCCTGGCAGACAATCATGTGGTTTCATCAATGTACTACTGCTCAGCCGAGAACAAACAAACTGAAGCTGAAGTGATTCTCAGGGGAGAGGTACTTTAACCAGAAAATTTTAAGGCTGTTAGTCCAGTTCTGATTAATATTTTGAAAGAAGCTTGGTGGGTTTTTTTCCTGAATGCCAGTCTTCCAGAAAAGCTTCACCAAAAGTGATAGAATAGCTAACTGTGCCCCAACAAAGGCCTGGTTCCCTTCCACTGGTCATCCCCAGTTCCTGTCAGACTGCCTGGTTTCTCCTCCCCAACGGCAGAGGTGATGGGCAGTGGGCCAGGGCAGTACCACAGCTGAAGGCACCATCTGCTTTGACAGAGTCACAGAGTGGCTGAGGGTGTCACGGACCCTGGGAGGTTACCTGGCCCAAGCAGGGCCATCTAGAGCCAGCTGTCTGACCATGGCCAGGTGGCTTTTGAGTATCTCCAAGGATGGAGACTCCACAGCCAGTATGAGCAGCACTGAATCCCATTCAGTTCTGATCCCTCTTGTGGTAGAAAAACACAGGAGCAGTGGAATTTTGGGATTTGCCTGCCATCACTCCTACGGAGAGTGTTTGCTCTGCTCTTGTCTTACATCAGGTGGGTAGATGGTGGCAGAAGTAGTGCTGGTTTGACATTAGGTTTTTTTCCCCTAAATAGGAGGCTGCAGTATTGCTGCTGCTTCTGCTGCCCAACAGTGTTTTATTCCCAAACAAAAAGATGGGAAAAGACTGTCAGGAGAGCAAAAGGATGATAATTGGGAAAGCTGGTGCTGCTGTAAAGTACCATTCAGTTGTTTTTCCTTCCACAGCTACTCTCCTAGAATTGTTACTGTTTCTTCTCCCTTTTGCTGGGTTTGGCTTTCTCTTCAGCCTTAAAGGTCTCTAGCAGCTTCTCTGCTTTCAGCCTTGCACAGTGTTCAAAGTAACATGGGGTGGTGGGGCCCTGGTATTTGTCCCAATGCAGAGCACGTCTTGCTCCACTGTTCAGGGGAGGAGACAAGGCATAAACTCCAGTTGTGTTTCCTTTCCTAACCCCTGTCAGGATGCAGTTGCACCCAGGCTCTCTCACTTGCACTACTATGGGCTAGAATTTCATAGAATCACAGACTGGTTTGGGTTGGAAGCAACCTTAAAGATCATCTAGTTCCACTGCACCACCTCTACCACCCCGCCATGGGCAGGGACACCTTCCACTAGCCCAGGTTGCCCAAAGCTCCGTCCAACCTGGCCTTGAACACTGCCAGGGAGGGGGCAGCCACAGCTGCTCTGGGCAACCTGTGCCAGTGTCTTACCACCCTCACAGTAAAGAATTTCTTCCTCATTTCATTTTAAAACCATTACCCCTTGTCCTATTGCTACACTCCCTGATCAAGAGTCCCTCGCCAGCTTTTCTGTAGCCGCCTTTAAGTATTGGAAGGCTGCTCTGAGGTCTCCGTGGATCCTTCTCTTCTCCAGGCTGAGCACCCCCAACTCTCTCGGCCTGTCCTCACAGGGGAGGTGCTCCAACTCCCTGAACATCTTTGTGGTCTCCTGTGGACCCACTTGAGCAGGTCCATGTCCTTTTATGTTGGTGCCCCCAGAGCTGGACACAGAACTTCAGGTTGGGGGGTCTCACAAGAGTGGAGGGAAAGAATCCCCTCCCTCAACTTGCTGGCCACACTTCTCTTGATGCAACCCAGGACACGGTTGGCTTTCAAGGCTGCAAGTGCCCATTGCTGGCTCATAATCAGTTTTCCATCCACTGATAACCCCAAGTTTTTCTCTGCAGGGCTGCTCTCAATTCACTCATCTCCCAGCCTGTATCTGTGCTTGGGATTGCCCCAACCCATGTGCAGGACTTTACACTTGGCCTTGTTGAACTTCAGGAGGTTCACATGGGCTCACCTCTCCAGCCTGTCCAGGTCTCTCTGGATGATATCCCTTCCCTCCAGTGTGTTGGCTGCACCACACAGCTTGGTGTCATTGGTGAACTTGCAGAGGGTGCCTCAATCCCACTGCCCATGTTTCCAACAAAGATGTTAAACAGCACCAGTCCTGACCCCTGAGGATGCCACTCATCACTGCTTTCCACTTGGACATGGAGCCATTGACACAACTCTTTGAGTGCGACATCCAGCCAGTCCCTTATCCACCAAGTGCTCCATCCATCAAACCCGTGTCTCTCCCCTTTAGACAGCATCAAAAGCTTTGCACAAGTCCAGTTAAATGACAGTGGTTGCTCTTCCCTTATCCACCAGTGCTGTAACCCCACTGTAGAAAGCCACCAGATTTGTCAGGCCCTATTTAGTGAAGCCATGTTGGCTGTCACCAATCACCTCATTTTCCACATGCCCCAGCATACTTTCCAGGAGGATCTATTCTATGATTTAAAATGTATTTGCAACAGGGGCTGGCATCACGTATGGCCTGATAATGCCAAGCACAAAGCACACAGTCACACCAGTGAGTTGGCAGGGGCACTTCCTCCTTCTAGCTACTGTGGGAACTGGCTGACTTAGAGGGGTGGGTCTCTGTTCTTCCTGTGCTACACACCTTTTTTAACCCCAGAAGTGGGGCACTTGGCTGTATCACTTTAATCATATTCTTCATTACTGTGGACAGAGGTGAAGCTGAATTAAAAGTCTGGGTCTTGGGATTGCATCAAATTTAGCTGCCGGGAAAGCCGAATTGAACAGAGCAATGTTGCTGCTGTGGAACACTGGGGAAGGGGGGTTGTCTGTTCTCGTCCTCTTTACACAGGCCATTTCTCCTGACCACCACTGGCCTTGTGTCAGAGGAACAGTCACACTCACATGTGCTGACATCTCCTCAGGCGTGCTTATGCAAGAGTTTTATGGCACTCTGCTCTCTGCGGGCAGGGGGAACTAGACCCCCACAGCATGGGGCAATAGCTGCACCAAAGCTGCTGTGCTGACAGAGCAGCCCCTCGCTAAAGGGCAGCAGGTGTGGGGGCAGGTAGGATGGGTAGAGAAATCCAGGCCCCACTGTCTGTACTGCTTACCTAAGGCAGGTTTCCCTAGCAGCTAAGCCGCTCCCCATTTTGCTTCTCGGTGCTCTTGGGCATCAGGAGCTGTGATGAGCACTGATGGATCCAGATGATCTACTTTGCAAATATAACAGGCTGCTGTCTTTGCTCTTTTAAAAAACACTCAACCTAGCCCTGCTGCTAATCTGTAGCTGGCAGGAAAACCAAAGGGGAGTGACTACAGCATGCCGAGAAACCTCCTGCTTCAGCGCGAGCGGCACCAGCTAGCATGGGCGGGCACTGGGGTTGCACTCCCCTTGCCCGGGGAGTAGAACAAAACCTTCAGCCTGTTCCCTGGTGGTAGGAAATAAGAGGTTATGGGACACCTGACTGACTGATTTGTAACACTGAGACCGTAAGAAATGTCTGTACCAAAGTGGGGTCATTCTTCCAAATGTGGCTGTTGTGCATGGGAGGTAAAGCCCGATCGGCTCATCACGCTGTTGCTATCAGTAGTGAACTCACTGAGGGCAGGAATGGATTAAAATGAAACATGTTCATCACCAGTCATTCTACCAGTGTTGTCAACTGTTTTTGTTTTTAATTATTATTGTAATATATTTTGGTTGTTTTTCTAATTTAATTCTCTCACTATCGTCTGACTGTGAACTGCGAACAGTGTTAAACTTGATGTAAATAAGGCCCTTTGAAGGGCCCCTTTGCCTGTCGTTCCACAAAGTTTTGCCAATTTGCATTTTGTTTTAAATAAAGGTTGCAATATTTTATTGGCAAAAAAACCCATGAGTATATGCTGCTTTTTTTTCTTAAGGAATATTTGAAGCTGCTCTGTACTAACATGAAGTTTGTTATTTTGCATAGAAAATACAAGATTATTATAAACCTGTTAAAAAAAGAAATAATGTAATTCTGCCAGATTGCAAAGAAAAGCAGTAGTTTTATTTATGCCCTTAAAATTGAACTGAGTGTTGCCATGGCATGGTCAGAGGAGAGCGGTTCTTGCTGTGGGGTCTGTATCATCAAATGCTATTCTGAAACATACACGTGTGACCTGGCAGAGCGCAGGGTCTTGTGTCATCAGTTTGACAGTTGCCCTCATTCCTAAACACCACCACCTCCATCAGAAACAGTGAGACCTGCTTAATGTGCTAACTTCATCCCAGCCTGGCACCAGCAAAATGCCTGAAAAAGTGACTCCCTTCCACTCCCAGCAGTATCAGTCTAACCTGGACACCTGAATATTCTGTTCTGTTTTAAAAAAATTATGGCTTATCCTGGCCTGTACAACCTTCTAAGCAACTAAGCTTCAACTAACTTAACTTTCTAAACTTCCTGCCCAGGTTATGAAACGCACCCCAAGTTGTGTCTGCCTGCAGGGCTGTGTCCTCTCTTCCCTGGATGCGTCTCCCTCCGGTGTTCCCCAGGCTGAAGCTTCAGGCTGGACTCTTGAGTCCAGAGATTAACCACAAACCAAGTCTTAAGAGTGCCTGATAACACTGCAGGCTGGCACAGGCCCTAAGGTCCAACTTGGAGACAACACGTAAGTTTAAACTACCTTTGCAGCAGCTGAGCAGTAAGAAAGCAGCTGGCTCGGCTTCCTGCCTTGGACTATGAAGCCTCCTTTAGATAGTGGAGCCAGCATGCCTGGAGGGAAACACAGACTCAGAGTCTGTGGGACTCCTGTGTCTGATCAGTCTTTTCCCAGAGGTTGTGCTGCTCATCACTGGCACCGTGGAGAGGTTCAAAGCTTAAAATAGATCCAAGGTCCGCACACGCGGCGTGCAGGGAGGTAAACCCTGTCCTTGGCATGTGCTGTTTCACCTCATCGCCCCAGCACCGCTGTGTTGGAAGGCAGTTTTAACCTCGAGGTCACAGTGATTCCAGTAACACTGTTGAAATTTTTTGGTCCTGCTGTAACATACTTATCACCTGGCAAGTACCCAGACAGCAAACAGCCCCTCAGTGTAGTAATGCTGATACCAGCCAAACAAACACAGCATGCAACATACTGGAAAAAAAAAAAAAAAAAAAAAAAAAAAAAAAAAAAAAAAGAGCAGCCAAGCTTGCAGCATCCCTGAAAATCTGAATGCAGTCGCAGCCTGTTCCTTCAGCCACCATCTTCCTCAGCCACCCTTTGCTCTTGAAAGGGGAACTAGTATCCCCTTTTTCATTGTTGTGCTGGTTTTGGCTGGGATAGAGTTAATTTTCTTCATAGTAGCTAGTATGGGGCTGCGTGTTGGATTTGTGCTGGAAACAGTGTTGGTAACACAGGGATGTTTTTGTTATTGCTGAGCAGTGCTTACACAGAGCCGAGGCCTTTTCTGCCTCTCACCACCCCACCAGTGAGCAGGCTGCGGGTGCACAAGAAGTCAGGAGGGGACAGAGCTGGGACAGCTGACCCCAACTCAGGGGTATCCCACACCATATGGTGTCATGCTCAGTGTATACAGCTGGGGGAAGGAGGAGGAAGAGAGGGGATGTTCAGAGTGATGGTGTTTATCTTCCCAAGTCACTGTTATACCTGATATGGCCTTCTGGACTTGGCTGAGCACCTGCCTGCCCATGGGACGAGGTGGATGAATTTCTTGTTTTGCTTTGCTTGCACAGGCAGCTTTTGCTTTACCTATTAACTCAACCCATGAGTTTTCTCACTTTTAGTCCTCTCATTCTCTCTCCCCCATCCCACTGGAGGGGGTGAGTGAGCAGCTGCCTGGGGCTTAGTTGCCAGCTGGGGTTAAACCACAACAGTTCTGCAGTGAAGCAAATGTGCTTTTCACCCAACTGCTTCAAAAAAAAAGAAATTCAGTAGAAGTTCATCTTATCCCCACAACTGCTTCCAAACAACGAAAGACTCCAATGAGAGGGACACTCCAAAACAAGAGGCTATGGATTTGACATCTCCAGAGGAGATTATTCAGTCATTTTCTCTATACAGGGGCTGCCCTGCACAAACCATGATCCTGGCACAGGTGTCCCTGAGCAGCAGACACCTTGTGAATGCAGGAGAGCAACAGAGAAAAAAAAAAACAACTAAGCTCTGGCAAAACAGTTCTGTGCAATCTTGTGACGTGACAGAGAAAACTGGGGACAGGGATGAGGATGTAGCTTATGCTGGACTGTCTCAATAGGAGCAGCCTGTCTCAGGCCTTCCTTCATTACATGGTAACAAACCAAGGGCTTGGATGTCCCCACTGACATGAAACAAAGCACCTGCCAGCACAACCCAATCACTACTTCAGGCTACTATCTGCTAAAAGAAGGGACTTAAAAAAGACTGGACAGACTTCAAAGGCAGCCAAGCACAGGCTGTCCCTGTGTCCCAGGAGTTAAGGTTGGGCAGGCTGTGCCTCCTCCCCTGCAAACTGCCTCGGAGTAACAAGTCTCTGTCTCTGGGCAAGCACAGGGCTTGGTAACCTGCCTGACCTTGTGCAGGAGAGCAGCTCCTGGTGTACAGAACCACCTTCACCGCTGGTGTAGTCCCACATGCTGTTCAAGGAAGGAAATAATTGATGCGCTGGGATACAGATTTGCAGCCCTGTGCAGAGAAGAGCTTCTCCTCTTTGGGGACAAACACCATCATCCTGGCCACCTCGTCAAGGGCTGCCTCGGTGTACGGAAGTCCACGGGCCAGGAAAGCATCCCGCGTGCAGAGCTTCACGTGGTGGTACTCCAGGGGCAGGAACGGCACGAAGAAATCAATGAGGTTCTCTCCAAGGAGGAGGCTGCAGGCGTAATTGTTCTCTGGAGCAAAACGCAAGACAAGACAAACTTCAAGAAGCTTCACCTGAGAGCTGTCATCCCTCTGCATACATGGTGGGAGAGACACACCCACTCGTAAGGAGCTGGCCAGAGCTTAGGCTCAACACAGACTGTCACTGCGGCTCGCCCACCTCGGCCCAAGAGAAGCCTGAATCCCCAGAGAAGCCTTGACACCTCCCTGCAGCGTTAGGCTGCCTCTCGCCACCTGGCCATTTTCAGGGCTGAAGGGGGCAAGGAGGACTCACCACTCGCTCCCTCCTTGTACCTCGCTGCTGCAGCAGTGCTGTGCTCATTGGAGTGAAGGAAGGGGCTCTCATTACAAATAACCCCGGGGTGGGGTTGGAATAAAGGCTTGTTCCACAGCACACACGCTTGTGCAGCACGAGGTGGATGGGGCGCCTGCGTAAGTGAGGCCCTGAGCTGGTGCAGAGGGGCAGGTTTGTGGGCAGCCTGCCCACGGCATCCTGCAAGCAAGCGGCTCTTACCTTCAGGCTCCTGCAGCTTCAGCTGCAGCCGCCGCTCCAGGAACTCCATGGAGATTTCCTCCCGTGCCCGGCCAGCTCGCCAGAAGTTCAGGGCTACCTCATTGATGGTGTTGCCACCGAGACTGCTGTGGACGCAGAAGGGAAGTCATTCAACCGTGTCCCCAGAGATGAACTGCCAGCAGCCTCCTCTACAGACAGGCATCTGCAATTCTGTTAGCAACGAAGGATTTGCTGTGTAGGATCAGCATCTGAAATCCTAGCACATGGAGGAACCAGCTTTCTTCCCAAAGAGCCCCTTTCTATAGGCATCTACACAGCTACCTTCCAGCCTGCCAGCTCAGACCCTGGGGCAGCTGCTTTCTCTCCCAGGATGATACCAGGAGCCAGCAGAATCCCCCCTCTCCATCAGCCCCCTGTCCTGGCTGGGACGCCATTGACCTCGCAGGTGATGCTTGGCTCCACACCAAACTTTCAACAAGCCAACTGGAAGTCCAAGTCAAAGGGCAGAGCACATGGCAGGAATCCCACTAGAAGTAAAGGTCCAGGACAGGGACTTTGAGGGGCAGCCCAGAACCTGGCAAAGCATACCCTGATCAAGGGACAAAGCAGGACAGTTCCCACGTGAGGAGGCCCCTGGGCAACCACTATGGGGGCAGCCCTGGGGTGGGGGATGCGAGATCCTGACAGTGCCTGAGGGTCCCAGGACAGCCCCTCACCTTGGGAAGCAGTTCAAGGCCAGGCAGCCCCCGAGTGCTGGCAAGGGGTTGGCTACAGCCTCAGACAACAGCCCCTAGTGCCCCACCACCCATGAGCTGGCAAGATGGGGAACCAGCTGGCTACAGAGGTGGTGGAGGGGGGAGGCAGAGAGGTGCTGGGGGGACACAGATCTCACACCCATCTTTCCTCTTGTGTCAGAGCCTCTGGACCCATTCCCCAAATGGAGGGGAGGCAAAATTAAAAAGCTGTCACTGGCTCATACCAATTCTGCTCCTGCCCAGACTATGGGAGGAGCAGCTCCTTTTCACTGAGGACAGGCAGCCAGTTCCACCCCAAACCTGGCCAAAGCTGCAACACTAGGCCAGCATCCAATGGAGCCCTGGGGCAGAGCCAGCCCTCCTCCAACACATCTGTGTCACACTGCCCCCGGGTGCAATAGAACCCCCCCCCGGATTACACACTGCTGCAGATCAAGGCACCCTGCTCCCCTCTGCTTGGTGGCATGAAGGGGCTGACGTGTCCCCCCACACCCGCAGGCCTTGCCAGGTAGGACAGGAGGTCAGCTCAGTGCAGCCAGCAGCATGTCCACCCTGCCTTGGGCAACAAGGGAGAATCTGCTGCCTCCCCCAAGGCTCCTGCTGGGGGCCCATGCAGGACAGAAACGTGGTCAGCTCCACTACTACTGGGCACATACACAGGTTCTCCCCATGGGCAGAGAGAGAAACTTCCCCAGGGAACCATCATGCCTGGAGGTCAGAACACTTGCCTGGATGGTGGGAGATGAAAGCAAATGCTCTGCCCACACCCCAGCCTAGGGGAACCTCTTGCCAGAGCCAAGCTGAAGGCTGTAACTCCTAAACTGAAGGGGGCCCCAAGATGCTTGTTGCTCCTTGGCATGTCTCACTGGCTACTTGACATCACAAAACATCTCAGTTTTGAGATGTCCCACGTCTCCCTCCAGATGCATCCCACCCAGGCTCGGCTCAGGGACAGCACTGGGGTGTGCACATGCCGAGTCCTTTCTTCCTTTGGATGGGAAAGAAACCAACTAAACCACAGGCTGAGCTGATGTCAGGAACAGGCCTCACAGCCGCGCAGGCCGATGGCAGACCTGCCTGCAGCCATGGCCAGGCAGTGGGAAGTGCCCAACTCCCACTCCCAACTAACAGTGCCACGTTGCACAAGAGCTTCCCACCAAGACCCACAGCCCCTTCTTTGCTCTCTGGAGTACGGGATCTGCCTGCTCAGCTGTGCAGGGTGACACCACACTAGCTCTGACTCTCACTGGTTTCTTGTCTCAAAGCATAGACTCAGGTATCCCAGCTAATCACAGAATCATCCAGGTTGGAAAAGACCTTGAATATCATCTGGTTCAACTACTAACCTCACACTGACAGTTCTCAAGTCCATCAGATCCCTCAGCACTGGGTCAACCTGACTCTTCAACCCCTCTAGGGATGGGGACTCCACCCCTGCCCTGGGCAGCCCATTCCAACACACAACAACCCCTTCTGCAAAGAAATACTTCCTAAGAGCCAGTCTAAGCTGGCCTCAGCAACTCCTGCAAATGCCCCATAGCCAGAGAGGATGCCAGCATCAGAAAGTAAAACTGATCATGGAGGCAAGCGCTTCCTGCAGTAACTGGACATCTTCCCCTCCCCTGCAGCCTGAGCTCCTCATATCGCACACCTCAGGCTATAAATTCCATTGCTTTGTTCCTCACCATCCCCTTGGAGACCCAGAAATCACCTGAGGAAGAGGAAGATGGATCTCTGGTAATCCACCTGGCCCTTGCTGTCATAGCGAGCCATGAAGGGCTTGATGGCATCCAGGAGGCCGAAATGAAGCTTCTCTGCCTCATCGAAGATGAATAGGGACTGCCTGCAGAGCTGCACAGTCTCGCTTATCTGCTTCTTCAGCTGAGCCTGCAGAGCAGCAGGGAGGAGTGTGAGAAGCCCAGCAGCAGTTGCTGCCACCAGGTCACCATGCAGGGGCTGAGCCTGGATGCTGTGGGTTAACCTTGGCTAAGCTAAGCACCACACAGCTACTGCCTCACTCCCTTCCACACAGCGGGACTAGGAAGAGGATAGGAAGAGCAGAATCAAGAAAATGAGTGAGTCAAGATAAAGGTCGTTCAAAAAGTGAAGGAAAGAGGAAGAAGAAAGAAAGAAAGAAATCAAAGCAAGTGATTCAAAGGCAACCGCTCACACCTACCACAAATAGACTGATGTCCAGCCAGTCTCTGAACAACGGCTTCCTATCCCAAAACCCCTCAGTTTTATTGCTGAGCACAATGGTAAATGGCATCCCTTTGGTCAGTCAGGATCAGCTGTATGGTGTGTCCCTTCCCAGCTTCTTGCACACCCCCAGCCTCCTGACTGCGGGGGCAGAGGGGGAGAAGGAGAAAGCCTTGAGGCTGTGCGAGCGCTGCTCAGCAGCAGCCAAAACACCGGTGTGTTTACTCACAGATCCAAAACACAGCACCAGCTGGGCTGCTGTGAAGAAAATGAAGTTCCCCCCCGCCAGACCCAGCACCATCCTCACAGCAACACCACATTGTGGGCTCTCACCTTGTACAAGTCCACGTACTTGTGATGGGGGAAGTGGAGGAGTGAGATGAACACCCTGACACACTCGCTCTTCAGCCCGTCCCGGTACAGGTGACTGGCCACCATCCGAGCCACAAAGTTCTTGCCTGTGCCAGACCAGCCATGGAAGGAGAGGACCAGAGCCTTCTCTGGCCGTGGGCTCTGCAGGAATCTTTGCACTGCTTGGACAACGACTTCTTTGGCCAAGTGCTGCCCATGAAGCTGCTCATTGAGGTCTGCTTCTAGCCCTGCAGGAAAGAGAGGGCAAGAGCTCAGCCTTAACTTGCAAGCCCAGCTGCTGCCGTGGGTGGAAATTAGAGGAGAAAATATGGCAGAGCTCTAAGGCCCACAGCCCTGCTGGTGGGGCTGCCTGTCTGAGAGGAGGCTGAAGAGGCATTAAAGCCACAGGGTTATTGAGGCAGCTGCCTGCGCCCTGCCTGCAAACAGACACAGATCTTCTGCTGATTCCTTCCTTCCTTCCTTTGGGAAGTAGAGGAGGTGTTTGATGACTGCAGAGCACTGGAGCCCTAATGCCCTCATGAGCTCCCAGCAGAGGAAACAGGTACCAGAGGGCTCAGGGAAAGCAAAATGCAGTGACACCTGCGCGGGGCTTACACACAGATCTGGGTGTTCCCTCCTGACCTGGGGCTGGGTATGGGGCCAGTTTGGATCCCACTCCATATGCCTGGGAGCTACCGGATGAAGGCAGGGTTTGGGGCGAACGGGAGCAGATACACTGTACAGGAAGGAACAAACTCTCATGCAGTCTCAGAACTACAAATGAATAATGGGAAACTGGACTTAGCTTGGCCCCTCACCCTCCCACCAGCTCACAACCCTGACCAGAAATGCCCTTTACTTGCATCACTTACCAAATTATACTTTTTCGTTGGTTTGGGGTTTTTTGTTTCTTTTTTAAAAGGAAAAAGCCCCACAAACAACAAAAGAGATGACAGGAAGAGGCAGCAGAGACAAGTATTACTTAGGGTCTCCCAAGCCCAGCGCAGCACCTACCCGTGAGATCGTTGATGATCCTGCAGTCTCCTGTCTTGCAGCACTTGCCGAAGCTGCAGTACCATGCAGAGAGGATCTCCAGGTAATCCTGGCCCACCAGAGGCAAGCTCCAGCCTGGAAAAGGCAGCACTCTGAGCACAGACGTGCCAGCAAGTGTTGTCTTGGCATTTTGTGCGGCTGCCCAGCTGAGGCTGGTTAATGTCCCCTCGTTGAAGTGCGGGGACTCAGACCCTGCCCCGCCAGGCAGCTCGGGCTGCGGGGAGCGGGAACAAACGCGTGCCGGTGGGCAGCGGGCTCAGGTATCAGGTGCCAGCATGCTTCCCTCACCCACACACGTGTCTGTGGCAACCCGAGGCACGGCGAGGAGGGGGATGCCCAGGGTAGTGGCCGTGGGGAAGGAGGGACAGCATCCCCAGCGGCTGGGGCACAGCAGCCCGATCTTTGGACCTGCTGCTGTTTCTGGGGCACGGGAGAGGGAGAGAAAGGAGGAAGGTGCCTACCTGGACTGGGGCTGGACTGTTCTTCCTCCTCCTCATCGCAGTGCTCCTGCCACACCTTGCATGCCAGGTACCGCCAATACTGCTTGGAGAGAGCACCCACGGCTCCCAGGTGCTTCTTCACGGCTTCGTACCTGTCTCTTATACACAT